TATATATATATAATGGTTGGAGGTCAAAACATATTCATAAATGACTGAACTATCATACTCTAAGTACAGTACATTTTATGTACACTTGTATTGAGATATGCAATAAACCTAAGTGCATGCCACGGGGGATTTTTTAATGAGACCTAGTTTATCAAATAGGGATTGCATTTTGAATTAAAGGGATCTAACCTCACCGTGGAACAATAAAAGTGGTGGTGGTGTGGCATTTTATGCAGAGAACAATTTTCACTGCAAAGTTGTTGACAAAGCAGTGGTTGGTGACATGATGGAGAGTTTGACAATTTAAATTCCTTTAAATTTAAAAATATTTTCTTGAGTTATAAATGTAGGACACCTGGTTCTTGTATTGATGCAATTGTTAATATAATTTCAAATATTTTGAGAAATGTATGTGACTTCAGATAAATAGATTACCGTATTTTTCGCACTGTAGGGCGCACCAAAAAGTCTTCAATTTTCTTAAAAGCTCACCGAGCGCCTTAAAATCCGGTGCGTCTTTTGTATGGTCATTACGGTAATACGTCGACTCCAAGATGGCTCCTTCCTGGAGACATGCTTCTAATGGTATAACTTGCTGTTGGTTCAGTGAACTGTGTCGCTGCTTTATTAAATAAGTTTGTGTTGCAGCTCCGAAAAAAGGATAGCTGTGGTGTTAATTTTTTAAAACAGTCTCAACAAATACAGGTACGTCTTTGTCTGTCTCCGTGCCTTCTTCCGTTCGACTCGAGAGACGTTCAAGACCGACTCTGAAAAAACGTAAACTAACGATTACTTCAATGAAACTACAAAATTGAAAAGAATACATCTAAACTGAAAAGCAAGCAAGGATATCACAAAATAAATTATATTGCCCCCCACAGAATTTATATTGTGATTTCATCATTTGTGAATACTGTACACAACAAAGGAATAATTAACTACGACTGACATCTTGTGTTATTTTGACTTCAAGATTGCGCCGTGAGAGTGGCTGCCTTTCCAGCAGCTCCTATTTATTTTGTTCTTCTACTTCTTCCTCTCATAACTTTGCTGCTGTTAAATGGGAATTTTTCCATTGTGAGACTATTCAAGGTTTTCTTATCTGATCGTACTGTTGGAGCGACGATAAAGGAAATGCCAATGCGTTATTCGGAGGCGGACATGAACGCCTCTCGAGTTGACCGGAAGAAAAGAAAGGAAGGAGACGGACAAAGACGCACCTGTGTTTGTTGAAAAAATGAGAGCTGTGGTTGTGGTTTTATAATTTTTTTTAAACGCAGACTTTATTCATGGTTTTCACAGTCTCAGCAAGTACAGGTACTGTACGTCTTTGTCCGTTTCCGTTTTCTTCCGTTCCACTCGAGAGGCGTTCATGGCCGCCTACGAAAAACGTAAATTAATTCTTACTTCAATGCAACCAAGAAGAAAATCAAGCGAGGAAATCACAAAATAAATTCTGTACGGGGGATATAGAATTTATTTTGTGATTTCTTCGCTTGATTTTCTGTTTAGATGCATTATTTTCAATTTTCGTAGTTTCATTTAAGTACAGTAATAGTTAATTTACATTTTTCAGAGGCGGTCTTTAATGCCTCTCAAGTTGAACGGACGCCTCTCGAGTTGAATGGAAGGACCGTAGCACCATCTAGTGGAGGCATTGTAGATTGTGTCTAATGTATTAAAATGAATTACAAAATAGCCATTCATTGAAGGTGCGCCTCATAATCCAGTGCGTCTTTTCGTGCGGAAAATATGGTGCAAATGAGTATGCTCATTGCGAGTTTCTCCCTTTAATGTTTAGTTTGGGTCTCTGGCCGCTTATTAATATGCCTAGTTGAATAACTAGAAGAAGTGCCACACTTACAGGTATTGATATTTTTACAAATGCTAGCATAAAAAATAAAGCGCTAAACAGAATGGCTGCTAAGAAAAGGGAAGCTGCTCAAGGAAGTCTTATTAGAAGGGCTTGTCAATAGTATGTTTTCACTTATTTCTATTTTGCATGATATTTATTTTCATCCACACACTGGCACAAAAAAAGTCAAATTTTGGCACTGGAATGGATTAATTGCATTTCTATTCATTTCACTGGGAGATGTTACCTCACTTTATGAATGGTACAAGTTACAAACAGGCTCTAAATTTGAACTAGAGCTTCTATAGTATATAGTTACCAAAGTTTTTTGGGTATGGAGTGATTCGGATCAGCACGACTCAGCACCGATTTACCTGAAATCAAATGGTGCCATGTTTTTTGTTCCAAAGCGTGTGACTATGTTTGAGTAGATTATCCCAGCAGCTTTACACGCACACTAGCGTAATGATGTCACCCACTCAAGCAGAATCTCACACACACTAAAAATACATTCACAGATTTGAAGGGCGACATTTGTCCACCAACAGCCAAACAAATACAGTTTATCCAGTATATTGTTGTGATGGTGAAGCCTCGCAGTTCCTAGCATGCTTTGGTTGAGGATGGGGGAGGGGTAGTGGACTTCTCACATGCTGGCGACTGGAGGTGGCTGGCAGTTTCCCTGGGTTCTTGCAATCAGTGTAGGGCTGAAAGACTGCTGGCAGGCCAACTCCACAGGAAAAGATGAAGTAAAGCCAGCTGCCACAGCAGTTGTTAATACTATGCATTCTGGTAACACGCTGCCAACAAGCAGCGTTGGCCACCTTCAAAATAAAAGCTGAACAACTATTGCATGGACATCGGTGCTTTGGATTTAAAATAATGTTAAAAAATTACCTGTCTGTGGTTAAGCAACCAGTTGTTCTAGGAAGCATGCAAACTGTCCCAGGAGTCAGCTCTATCTATCTATCTATCTATCTATCTATCTATCTATCTATCTATCTATCTATCTATCTATCTATCTATCCATCTATCCATCCATCCATCCATCCATCCATCCATCCATCCATCCACCCACCCACCCATCCATCCAGCATTGTGAAAGACAGCAATCATTCTTGTTGAAAGACTTCTGTGCAAATCATGTTTCTTGTGAAAATCATGCAAAAATTTTGAAAATTAGGAAATTATGTTAGCAAACAAGCTTGTTTCATTTTTATTAGAGAATATACCACAAGCATTTTTGATATTCTCAAATGAATGATCAATCAATTCATATTGATACAGACTGAGCCCTTTAAAACCAGAGCCAGTTCAAAGAAATTGTTGTCATTTTTGTACTCAGCAGCCCTGAATTACCCAGATATTATAAAATATCTTTGGCACTCGGGGCGAAAATTAATTTGTGGCTAGTGTAATAAAGGATTCCACCAAATTGAGGGACCACATTATACACAAGTTCAGAGAAAAAGCAAGATAGTGGTGGTAGTGGCCGTGAGATGAGAATCAGAATCATCTTTATTGGCCAAGTATGTAGAACACACAAGGAATTTGTCTCCGGTATAACACGCTGCATTAGTATCATCATAAACAAGGACATGACAAATAAGTATGGAAGGACATTTCGTAATGTAAGTGAACCGTAGTGCGGTGGTACCACCCAGTGGCAACTGTGAGACAATGTGCAAAGTATCAAGCAGAGCTAAAGTGATCAGTGGTAGAATACAATACTATGACAGTTGTACAGTTGGTGCAGAAAATCATTGAACCATTTTAAAGTGGACAGTAGCAGTATTTGTTGTCCAGGAAGAGTGCAATTGTGCAGATGTCCTTGAGCGCTTTAAAGTGTCTGGTGCGGTGGAGTATTCGTCAGTGACTGTTTAGGGAGTTAATGGCTAGAGGGAAGAAGCTGTTTAAGTGTCTGCTGGATTTGGTGCGCATGGATCTGTAGCGCCTGCCTGAGGGGAGTAGCTGGAAAAGGTGGTTGGCAGGGTGCGGTGGATCCAGTAGGATTTTCCGTGCCCTTGTTTTGATTCTTGCAGTGTGCAAGTCCTCAAGAGTGGGTAG